CCAAAACAGGTTGCATATCAGGACCACGCTTATTGGCACTTACCGGAGGTGAGCTCTTATCCTGACCGGCATGTTCATCCCAGTGCTAATGGCCTTCGCAGCGGTGGGGAGCATGGGACGAGCAATGAGCCGCCCAGTTGGAGATGATACCCTTTCGCTTGGTTCTCGCTTTTCGGGGCTCAGACTTGTACAGTATTATAAACGCACACACTAATGAGGACGTTCATGCGCGCAAACCGTCCGAACGCTGGGCGCTTCATCGCGCCCGGCTGCAATCGGATGTCCGGGTCGAGCGGCTCCGATGCCTAACGCTCTGGCTGAACGTCTGAGTACCCGATGTCCCGCACCCTGACAGGATGTCTCCGGAAAATAATCGCCTTCGGGCTCTTCGGTAGACCCGACTCGATACTGCCGTGTTGAACGGCTCGAGTACCTGCGTGCCGCCGGCACTACTACTTCGAACCTTCGACGGTGAGCATCCTCGAACCTACCCGATCATCGTCCCAACAGCTAACGGTCGTGACGCCCATATCCTTACAGATCTCAATCCAATATCAGCCTCGACTCGTAGCGTTTCTCTGGGCGTTCATCCAATTCTCTCGGCATTCGTCATCGTAGAACGGAAGTGACCCTATGGAGGAGAGTGTTGTCGTTCAAGGTTTGAATGTCTTTTCGGCTCTGTACATGGTCAGAGCACATTGCGTACGAGGGCACGACTAATTGAGACAGCGTACCTGAGAAGCCGGGTAGAGTCTGAGATCGCTGTCGTCGACCGCAGAGGCGAAGCTCTGAGCGTCTGCTCGCAGACGCGCGCGGAAGGAGAACATCCTCGTTTCCACACTCAAAAGTGGTTCTCTCATGAAGGCCATGTTCTGTCAAGTAGTAAAAGTATGGTGAAAGAAGAACGCACAAAGTCGTGTGTTCAAACAAGTTGGTCGTGTGCAGAAGGTCCGCACATTGCCCCTTTCCCGTGCTCACATACTGAGACGCCTTCGGCTGGGACGGATGCAGTCAATACGGGTGTGCCTACGGTCTGGTCTCTCGTAGCAAGGAACGCGTCACGATCAGAATACGGTCGTGTGCGCGTACTGTCAGCGTATGCACACAGTACTGCTTCAATCAACTCAAGCTTAACCTTGCTTTACAGGCCATGCTTTCGGTATCCCAGGGAACTAAGATGATATTGCTTCAGTACCGCCAGTATCACAACGCCGTTCGGATCCCAAGAACTCTTCCACACACAACGAATACCTATGCCGAGCGTGATCAATCTCACCTCTCGATCTCTACTCCACAACTTCCATAGAACCACGTCTGTCTTTCGATAACTCTGCCTACCCCTCTCCAAAAGCAAAACAGAACCGTTATCCTTCCGCTCCCTCTGACGACTATATAATAGATATCGACCCGACAACGCCTCTGTCTTCATCAAATCTTCGCTATCTTGGACAAGTTACCGACACCCGTGTGGGCCCAAGTCCCTACTCCGCGATCTTTCTACAGTCGCGTCGTCCGCTCCGATGCTTTCTTCGGTATCTTTGCGCTCTTGAGCTTGTATGCGCTGGCGACGTTCTTCTGGCGCGACGATCGAGACCCCATGGTCTTGTGGGGAGATGGACTCGTGCCGCTATCATACAATGGTAGCGGTTGGAGGCCTATGGCTGTCGCTCAGCCGCCGTTAGTAGTTACCGCCGGCAAGTCGTATGCGCCTTATTCTTGATACGACTCTGACGTTTGTCCTATAGATACCCTCGCTGTCACATCACCACTCTACGGCCAGCAGACCTACCGCCCCATCAACCCCTCCCTGCCTCCAGCGCACGCACCTCGTTGGGCTGAGATGCCTCTTTCCTGCATCGAGGAGATCATCGCGTCCGGCGCAGACTGCACCGGCTGGAAGATGCCGCAGAAGTTCGACTTCACGTACACGTGGGCGAACCCGACCGACCCTATCTACCGCCCCAACCATAAGAGCGTGAAGGAGGCGTTGTTGAAGAGCAGGATCGTCACGAACCCGGACGCCAGCAAGTGGCATTATCGGTGCGTTCACGTGTCGGCTTGGCGTTTCAGACGCGATGTTTAACTCCGGTATAGTGACTACGACGAGTTGCGGCACTCCACGCGGAGCCTTCTCGACCACTTCCGTCCGTACGCCAATCAGTTCACTATCCTCGCGACGTATGTCCACTCTTCGCACTGCATGCGCGATCCGTCGGGCTGACCGCATTCTTTCAGCGACTTCCCTAGCGATGGTCTCACGCCGTCTTCCCCGCATCGCATCGGGCAGATGCCGCAGTGGCTTGACATCGACCTCCCGCACGGCACCTCGCAGTGGAAGGACGGCGACATCGAGCTGAAGATCCAGTACCCGGCCGAGTACTTCGATAAGTGCTATGGCACGACTTTCAACTCGCTCGCTATTGAGTCGCAGATGGGCAACCTCTGAGATATTAACGACATCTTGTGCGTTCATTGTTTGTCACCGTAACTGGGTTGTAACTGACGCACGCACGTCGGGTGCAGTGTCTACATCAACGACGACATGTATTTCGTGCAGGATATGATGCCGGCCGACTTCCATACTTCCGGTTCGCTTTCCTCCTATACTCCTGCTCGCGCCGTGCCCTGACGTCTTCTTTCAGCATTCGGCTTTGCTTCTGGCTCGAGTTCTGGAACCCGGTCTTGCCTATCTACGCACCCATTCCGAAGCGCGGCGAGCTCCCGCAGATGCGCGAGTCCAACGTGCTCCTGAGCGAGCGATTTGGGTATGTCTCGCGTCGCCGCCGGCTCTTTGCCGCAGCGCTAATGACATCGCTAGACCCACCAACCGTGCCCACCACGCGCACGTACCGAAGTCCGTCTCCCTCGTGCGCGAGATGGCCGAGACCTTCCCGGAGGCCTTCGAGCGCACGGCCGCGCGTCCGTTCCGTTCCGTTTGGCCCGTAGTGCGGGTAAAAGGAAATGGGAGGCGCGGAAATGAAGGTCGGAGGCGGGCTCGAAAGAAGTCAACGCGCGTTTTAAAAAACCCCATTTTTGACGCGTTTGGACCGCCATACTAGTAGTGCCAAGGGTATGTACACTTTACACTACCCTTACCCAATGCGCTAAAAATCCTCGCAGACACGCAGCACAGCAGTAAGTGCGGACACCCCGTTCCCGCACGAATAGCTACGTCTAAGCAAGCCCCTTCCCGGCGCTTACGGGCTATCGGGTGAAACCCTCAACACTCCGGCTGAGCTCGAACTACCTTGGCCTCGGGAACACGAAGAGCCAGCCGCGGCCGCGCCAACGCGTCAAGTCGCCGAAAGGTGCGCCCGTAACAAGCCGACAACCTTCATCCTCTAGTACTCCGCGACGCACGTCAACACATCCATTCCCAACTAGGGCAGCAAAGAACAACCGCAGGGATCTTGCATCGAAGACGAGGCGCGCGAGTATTCGAAGTCCGTCGACGTGAACATCTTGGAGAAGATCTATCTGCACCACCCGATGTTCAACGACAACGGGGAAGTCCTCCTCGCCTCAGACACCGAATGCTTCTCTTATGCGCTCTGCAGTACTATGGGAACCGACAGTGTCCTTTCGCGTCTCATCGTGGCTGTGACATGGGCGCGAGCGTCTTACCACATCGCTTTGTGTGTCAACGGTCTCATACAGACACCACGTTTCGAGTAACACCTCTACGACTGCAACGAGAACTGGTCGAGAGCGCGCCGGCGCACGTTCCACCTGGGCATCGATCCTACGGACGCTGATCGGGCTATGGGCGTCTCCTTCCATCTCCTGAGCTTAGCCACTTAGTCCAAACACTATGATCACCCGCGACTCAGGCGCCGGGTGCAAGTTCGCTATCAGAATCGTGAAGGCGCACGTTCCCACTATTCCGGAGTTCATGCACCACTCTATCATGCACAGCTCAGTGCTTCTCAAGAATATCGTCTAGAAGAATAGCGGCGTGGTGAAGTAACGACAGTTCATCTTTCAACCCATACGGCATCACCTCGTTGAGCACTTCATGGGCTCGCAACGACCCCGAGTAGAAAGCCATGTCAGCTTTGCCGTATGACGACCTTCCCGGCGGCGGCGGTTTCGTCACGGAAGTCGCGGACGAAGATCCTTGAGAACGGGCCGAGACGGCAGATGCCGACAGCGATCCGAGGTGCGGCGCGCGTG